GAGGGTCTAAGAAGGGAGGTTGTTGCAGAGCAAGAAGAATCCTCCAGATTTTGGTGGAAGATATCTGAGAGAGCTGCCTCCTCTAAGATCAGATCTGGTCGGAGTGAGTGTGCGCATCTGGGAGGGAATTCATTGGTGCCTCTTGTCTAGCTTGACTTTTCCCTGTATCTATTTTTTATTGTATTTTTAAACTTATTTATTTATTTATTTATTTATTTATTTATTTATTTATTTGGTTTTTCGAGACAGGGTTTCTCTGTGGCTTTGGAGCCTGTTCTGGTACTAGCTCTGTAGACCAGGCTGGTCTCGAACTCACAGAGATCCGCCTGCCTCTGCCTCCTGAGTGCTGGGATTAAAGGCGTGCGCCACCATCGCCCGGCTCCTGTATCTATTTTTTAGTCTGCATCTTAGGACCAGAAAAGCAGAGGCCTTAGGGTTTTTCTTACCCTGTGCTGGTCTGGGGTCCCTCTTCTATGCATCTAACTTCTATGCTGCAGGATTATGGATGGCTCTGAGAGGCAGGTACTCTATGAGTGTTTAAATCTCTAGGGTGGGTTTTCCAGTTGCCATTCTTCCCCACCTGGCTCTTCATGGGTTACTGGATCCAGGGACGGAAGAAGGTAGCACTTCCCTATGTCCTCCTGGGTTACCTAGCTGATGCACCTGAATCCACTGAGGCTCCTTGGGAAACTTGAGAGCATGAAAGAGAAACAGAACACAAACATAAATGCCACTAGGTTTATAGGCATGGAGCCAAACTCAGGGGTTTCTGCCAGTCCTTTTGATATTTTGAGGATATGTCTATCAAAGCTTTTGTGCTTGAGGTACCAAGGGAAGTGGTCTTCCATTTCTTCCTTCCTTGTCATGAAACACTGATCCACTAAACAACTAGTTGCTTGTACAGTGGGCAAAGTTCTGTCCCAAAGGCAGCAGAGGATGGAGGATAAAATTCTGCTCTTGGACTAGAACCCATAAAGTCTAATACCAAAGCCCCAGTATGAGGAGCTAGTCAGTGTGTGTCTGTCTTGAAACGTTTCCAGAAGCAGTAGGTCAATCTGTATCTTATTAAAATGAGCCAAGATCTTCTAAGAAGAAGTCTTTCTGCGTGGGGCTGACACTCTCTGATAGCAGTGTTAGTTTTCCTTTGGGTACTGGCTAATCCCATGTTTCTCCCACTGTGGAGAAGCTCCTTAGAAGTGAGGTGGGGCCTCAGGGAAGAGGCCTAGGGCTACTTTCAGCCTGGAGCTCCCTACAGAGCTCTTCTTCACTGGCCAGATCTCAGAAGTTTCCATTATCTTCAGAGGATTCCTTCATGCTCCCCACAGAGAGTTCTAGCATTGGTTTCTCACATCTATCTGCTACACACACACCCAAGCCCAACCTTCAAAGCAGTTCTTAATCAGCCTCAATTTTCCTTTCTATTTGTAGCCAAATGATAAATATTTTGAAATAGAGCTGGGGGTGGGGGCTGCACAAGGATCAGAGTGGTTAGGTACCACCCCCTAGTTCCATCCTTCCTGCATAAGGACACTCCAATTAGATAGCTTTGTCTTTTCAGGACTGTAACCTTTGTACAGAGAAATCTGCTGCATGTCACACTGGAAGTCCTTCCAGCTTGATAAGGGTGTGATGTCAGCTCTTGGCTTCAGCTTTACTCCCTGAAGCTGACTCAGTACAAGTGACTCAGGCCTCGGAAGTGGGAGAGGAACAGATCATGATATCCTCCTGTCCACTGGGCCCCGTCTGGGAGAGTATCAGCTAGAGCCAGTCCCCTGCCTGTTACCATTTCCCAACTAGCTGAGGTGTAGAATTGAACCCGTAGGTGCTAACACATTCTGCCATCCTCACTGTCTCAGTCCTTCCTCCCACTTCTTCCCAAAGTAGACGAGTTGCAGCCTTAGCAGGGTGTTTCCAAGAGTGGCTACACCCTGTAAATGCTCTCCTGCCCAGTTTCATAAAGGAAAACCAAAACCTGGTATCTCAATCGAGAACTTCAGCCATAAAGTTGAATTAAGCAGATGCTTGAAATGTTGACCGTAGAGAAGTACTCTGCCTACTGCCTTCTTGCTCTGCGAACTCCAAAGACTCTGCCTCTTAGTCCAGTCCCCTCCCCTCCTGCCTTTATGCACTCATTCTGTGCCTGCTGCCTGTCCTGGTAGACAGCAGTGGGCAGAACCCAGGATGGCCCAGGGCATGAGTACTGCTCCACAACTACTGAGTGAGCTGCTCCTCACTTTGTTCCCAGATTCCAGCTGAACAAAGGAGGGGGAAGGTGTTTATTTTTTCAATTTTTTGTTTGTTTCCTAAGAAAGACTCTCAGTATGTAGCCTGAGCTAACCTTGAACTCTTGATCCTTCTGCCTCGGCCTCCCAAGTACTGAAATTACAGGTGTGTGCCACTCTATTCAGCTGGGGTGATGTTTAGAGTATTAAAGTCTAGACTTTGGACTGGGATTCAGATGATCTCGGGTGGTTTTAGCTAGGACCCTCATTGTCATGTGCAATACCTGACGGAAGCTGGGCGGGTGTGAGGCTGACACATATGTGATCATCCATGGATCTGGGGCGCCCTTTGTCATAGGTTCAAGGTTGGGATTAGGCTTCCTAAGGTGATCATGAGGCTAAGAGGAGATATGTACTGAAAGGTAAGCCAAGAAGGTAGAGGAACATCAACTTTCTAGTACAGGGTCGTGCAGTTGGTGGCTGTCCCGGTGGAGAAGGGGTTGGTTGAAAGCATGTGAGTGGGTTATGTGAAAGAAATAAGCCTTGGTCAGGCGGTCATTGCACTAGGGATCCGGCTCTAGGGTTCTGATCTAAAAGGAAGGTGTGTTCAGGAAAGAATAGAAGATAAAATAGAAAATAAGGTATTTTGGCCTTCAGCTCTTAATCTCTAGGTCTGAGCTAGCCTTTCAACATTCCACAAATATCTAGACTCTGGGCAAGTAGTGTTTCCAGGCTGACTGCCTTTCACTAAAGTAGAAAGATATAGCTGCACAAAAGAAGCAGTTATGATCCAAGTTTGCCTAAATTCTTTGCCTTTGTCTCTTTCCCTCCCCCCAACCTCACCCCTTCTTCCCTTGCCCTCTGGCCCTTTCCCAGGAGCTCTCCTCCAGCACCGAGAGTGTTGATAATTCATTCAGTTCCGTAAGTGGGGCCAGGCTGGGACTGGGTGGCAGGCTCCCAACGTGGCCGCATTTCCTCTCCGTCCCATGTTGTCTATGACCAGTGAAGGCCCCTTTAATTCCAGGAGATTAGCATCTCCCTGCCAGGCTTCCCAGACCTGGAGGCATTCCTCCTGAGCTTTGCTGCCAGTGCCCTGAGCCCAGGCCCAGACAGCTCAGCTGATCCTTTGCTCCAAGACTGCAGCTGGAATGTTGTGCTGCTCCTAGGTCTCTGGAGCAAACAGCTGGGACAGGTAGAATTTATTCCTGGATTAGAGCCATGGACTGCTTGGCAGAAACCTCCAGGATCCCATTTCTCCCACCAAGAACCCTTTCCCCATGACTTCTGTCATCAGCCCATAAAATATTTATTCAGTTTTCTACATGTTAGGCTCTGTGCTATCCGAGCCAACTCCAAAAACAAACTGGCCTGAGGGAAAGTTTTACCTTCCCATAACTGGTTTTCCTTTTTAACTTCATTTCTTCCAGGTCTGAGTTCTTCCGTTTCCCCAGCCCATTGCCCAGGATGTCCCTTAATCCCTGTTCTCCTTTCTTACTCCCTCTGAACTAACTCATGACCCTCTGGTCCTACAGGGTCTTGGACCTTGTTCCTGGGCAAAGACGTGAGAGGAAATGCTGGACCCTCTGGGAGTTTGGATATATATATATTTCTTTTTTACATTTTATTCTTTGTCTACCCACTGTTTTCTATTTTCTGTGCTGATCCCCTTTTAATCATGATCCCATCTCCTCTCATGTGGCAGAGCCTCTTTTTTGGAGGCCTGGGGTCATATCCAGTATGGTTAGGTAAAACAGGGGTCTACAGCTAAAAGGCTCGCTTGAGGATGGAGAAGCATTCTGCCTTTTCTAATGAGATGACTGAATTGGTTGGGGTGGAGGGTCCTGTCACAGTGAGTGGATGGATTCAGGGATCAGGATAAAGGCATGAGTCTTTCTGGGGTGGAGCCCAGGGCCTCATTCCCTTTTTTTTTTTTTTTTTTTCTGTTAGGCCCCCAGGATATTTCTAGGATCCTTGAGGTCCAATTCCATTTTCTTTTCTTTTTTCCTTCAACCCCGTCCCTAAAGTTTCCCTTCTTTGCTGCTGTGCAGGGCTTCCATCACGGAGGAGAGACTCTGTGGTTCCTTTGCGTACTGACTCTTATCGCACATGTGCAGGTGAACACAGTATTACCCAGTTCTCAGGAGAAGCTTCTGGATGGGGAACACTTACCAAGGTCCACCCCTAGATGAAATGCCACAGCTATCAGTAGCTGCTGGGGGAGAGAGAATCAGTTTTCTCCAGGAATGACCCCCCCCCCCATGATAGGTTTCCCAATTCTAAATGATCAGCCATAAAAACTTTCGCATATGCACAGCACTAGTTGGATTTAGTAAGATGTATAAAACAAAATAAGAGCCTGGAAAAACAGCTTACTGGCTGCTCTTCCAGAGGGCTTGGTTTTGATTCCCAACACTCACATGATGGCTTACAACCACCTGTAACTCCATGGGCACTACACACATAGGTACAAAGATATGTAGCTAGAACATCCATATGCATAAAATAATTTTTTAAAAAAATTATCTATGTTTGGTGGTATGTGCCTTCAATCCCAGCATTTGGGAGGCAAATACAGGCAGATCTCTGGTTTTGAGACCAGCCTGGACTACATAGCAAGCTCTAGGCCAGCTAAGGCTACACAGATCCTGTCTCCAAAAAAAAAAAAAAAAAAAAGTCCATGCTCAGTAGCTTCATCTTTTTTATAATGTTGTAACACTATTACAGAAAAAGGTGGAAAGAAAGTGGCTCTTCCTGCTTCCAGTATATCCAAACTCTGAATACTTTAAAAAAATAATTTTTATTATAGATCATGAATTCAAAAGGGAGTAGGGGGGATATGGGAAGGGTGGAAATGATATAAATACAGTATACTCATATATGAAATTTTCAAAACAAATTTTTTCATTAACAGAAGTCTTGAATAAAGTTTGTTCTTAATCTCAAAAACAAAAAAGGAAACAAAAGATGTTCTTTGTTTTTTTCATGTAGTATGTATGAGCAGTAAGGGTAGAAATTCTCAATCAGAAAAATAAGCAGACTTGGTATAGTGGTGCACATCTTTAATCCCAGCACTGAGAAGGTAGAAGCAGGAGGATTTCCATGAGCTAAAGGCTGACTAGCTTGATCTATATAGCTTGAGCTCTAGGCCAAACAGGCTACATAGAAAGACCCTGTCTCAAAAAAAAAAAAAAAGGCGGGGGAGGGGGATGGAGAAGCCAGGTAGTGGTGATCACTTAGAAGTCAGTGGCGGAGTTTGAGGTCAGTTGTTACACCCTGTCTCGAAAAACCAAAAAAAGAAAAGGGGGTGGGGGTGTAGAGAAAAGTCTGGTAAATGAAATGCTATTCCAATCAGAAGAGCAGAAAGAGTAAGAAGAGAGATTGTTCTATATAGCTGAGGAGACATGATAAGATATGGAATTGTGTAGTAAATACCTTTTTTTCATGGTCTTGGTATATAGTTCTAACTGACCTAGTAATCACTAATCTAGGCTGACCTGAAATTTGTGGCAATCCTCCTGCCTCAGTCTCCCAAGTGCTAGAATGTGACTCACCATGCCCAGCATATGGGGTTTTGTTTGTTTGAGTCAGATTCTTTGTTATAGCCCAAGCTGGCCTCCATCTTGTGATCTTCTTTGCCGTGACTTTCAAGGTGCTCGGATTAGAGTCGCGATCCTCTCTGCCACGCTTTGTGGCTGTCTTGAGAAAGGGTCCCTGTGGCAGACAGGCTTAGACCAGTCGAGCTCATCATCATGTCTGTCTGATTCCATCTTTCTCCCCACTCTACCTTGCCCTTTCTGGGAACTGCTGAAATACCTGGCATGAGGAACCAAGCTTACCACAGGGAACTAAAATTGGGGGTCAAGTCTGTGAAAGGCATGCGAAGAGAACCCAGGGAGGAATTGCTAGAGACAGGCCTTCAGAAGGGCCACCAACGGCGAACAGGAGCTATTGCTTATTCCATCCTCCTATGAGCACCACCCTCCACCCGCCTTTTCTTTCCCAATGGTTATGCCCTCATTAATACAGTTTGCGCATTCTCTTCTCATCCCTGCTTGTGTACTTAGCCCTTACGAGAATGAGGGGTAGTTGGCGTTTGCGCCATGGAGAACAACAAAAGTTTCAGGATGAAGAGCATCTCCTTCTTTGAAAGGGGAAATACTGATTCAGGTCCCTTTCCCTAGTCCTGTGAGGCCTGGCCAGAGCCCCTTGGCACAGAGCCAGCCCGAGGGCCCAGATGGGAGAAGGGATGACCCTGTTCTTGAGATGAGTAAAGCACTTCAAGTAGGCGCTCTTCTGTCTGAGGTCCTGGATGGCCTTTCTAGACCTTGTCCCCTTGCCTGTATTAAAGGCTTGGGGCAGTCTTTGAGGAACTCAGGTCCAAGGGGAAAAAAAAAGGGATTCTTTCTCAGTGAGCTGAGCTCAGGCGATCTTGAGTCCCCTGGAAGTAGCTTTCAGAGAAGGGATGTGTTCTCCCCCGTTCAAGCTGGAGTAGGGTGAAAATTCCTACCATGGCCAAAGGTAGCCCCTTTCCTGGGGTTCTTTAAATACCGGGGCCCTAGCCAGGAGCAAATAAGGCTACTTTTTTCAATGTCTTCTTCACCATCTTTTGTTTCATCCCAACCCTCTGTAGCCTGTCCGGCTGGCCCCTGAACGAGAATTCATCAAATCCTTGATGGCGATCGGCAAACGGCTGGCCACACTCCCCACTAAAGAGCAGAAAACACAAAGGCTGATCTCAGAGCTCTCTCTGCTGAACCACAAACTCCCTGCCCGAGTCTGGCTGCCCACTGCTGGCTTTGACCACCATGTGGTCCGTGTGCCCCATACACAAGCTGTTGTCCTCAATTCCAAGGACAAGGTAAGTGGGCTCTGGCCTGGACCCTTCCCCTCATCCGACCATCCATGACTACTCAGACTTTGTTCCCTACCTGCATGCTGGAGACCTTGTACTGTATGGTGACCCTCCGTCATTGCTCTTGTGATGCCCAGAACCTCAGATCCCTCCTGCCTGACTTGTTGGGTTTTGGTTTTATAGGCCAGAGCAGCCTAATGTTCTCAGTTTACCTTATGCCTTCCACCCACTCCTCATCCTCCTTGAGTACTCTTTCGCCTTTCTCTAACTCTCAGGCTATCCAGGTACAACCATCATGTGGGTAAAGGGACATATGTATAAGAATTTTTTCTTTGATCAAAGTGGGCAGAAAGGAAAGAAATATGCCCATTCATACCAGAGAAAACAAGCTGTGTTTGTCTACTTATAGGAATGATGGTCCTCATGGTTCAGAGTCTCCTCTCAGAGGAAGGATTGAAAATTAGGATTCTCCTTGGGACATATGTTGCTTTATCCAGTTTTTCTGTCTACTTCCCTGGGCCCTGACTTTATCATAAGCCCATAGAACTTCAACTGCTATTGATAGTTGAAACAGTTTTTCCCGACTGCACACATGCATTTGAGCCCTCGCGCCCTTTCCCCAATGTTTTATGCAGGTGATAGCACAAGTTCCTACCTGTGCATGATGCTCACAGTCACAAGGGACTGCTGCTGAGGGTTGGGACAGAAAGATCTGTGTCAATGAAACTGAGATGAGAGGTAGTGGCAAATGCTGTCCTCCCCTCCTCACCCCCAGGCTCCCTACCTGATCTACGTGGAAGTTCTTGAATGTGAAAACTTCGACACAACTAGTGTTCCTGCTCGGATTCCTGAGAACCGAATTCGGAGCACACGATCCGTAGAGAACCTGCCTGAATGTGGTATCACTCATGAGCAGCGAGCCGGCAGCTTCAGCATGGTGCCCAATTATGACAATGATGACGAAGCCTGGTCGGTGGATGATATAGGCGAGCTACAGGTGGAGGTGAGGGAGCACCAAGGAGACAATACTGGGGGCACAACACCTGTTTTCTAGGAGCTTTTAATACATTTGGAATAACACACCTGTTAGCAGATGGTGCAAGCGCCCAGAGGAATGTTGCAGGTAGTAAGGTGTGAGAAGGACAGGCACTGAACAGCTGGTTGGAATAGGCTCACGCTTGTTCTCCTGCAGCAGGAATTCAGATTGGAAGTAAAAAGGAACATCTAGACTAGGGGAGGAGGGAAATATAATAAAATATTCATGGAACACCCACTATATAAAGTTGATTTAGGACAGCAGACTGACAAGCCATACCTGCATTCGGTCAAATATATAAAGGGAGCTGGGCAGTGGTGGTGCAGGCCTTAATCCCAGCACTCAGGGCAGAGCCAAGGGATCTGTGTGAGCAGTAAGAGCACTGCTGCTCTTATAGAAACAGGGGTTCAGTCCCCAGCACCTTTGCTGTGGCTCACAGCTGTCTAACTCTAGTTCCAGAGAGACCTGCTGCCCTCTTCTGGCCTCTGTGGACATTGCACATCCATGATGCACATGCAGGCACTCATATGCATAAAATCAATATTTTAAAAAGAGAAAAATATTAATATCTGCATGTAGTGTCTCACAACTATAATCCCAGCTGAAAGGTTGAGTGTTCTGAAAGGATTTGGTGTTCAAGGCCACAAGGCCAGCCTCAGCTACATAGAGAATTTGAGGTCAGTCTGTACCTTTCTTGAAAAACTGAAAAGAAAAAAAGTTTATGGAGGACTTTCTGTGTCCCACACCTGAGTACTGTATACTAGTGAACAAGAGTTGGCTTATACCTGCAAGGATTTATGACCTCACAGAATCAGACCAGACAACTGGTAGTTGCAGTGTGGTGTGGCCTGCACTGTAGTGAGGAGCATGAGACATCATGGAAGCACCCAGAGCTGGTACTTCCTCCAGACTTGGGGTGGGAGTCAAAGGATTTCCTGGAGGCAGCAGCCTTTCAGCTGAGGCCTGAGGCATGTTTAGAATGGCAGAACAAAAAACATTCAGATAGAGGAATGTGTACAGAGGAGAAAATGGAGCATGGCCATGATAGGAACTGGAAGAAACCAGTACGCGTTGCATATATAGTATGAGGTAAGAGGCAGTGACAAATTAGGCTGGAGAGGTTAGCACAACCTGACAGGCTATGTACTCATTCAGTCCTGGTAGCTATGGGAAGAAACTCAAGCTAGTTTGGGGCTATAGGAAGGCAAGCAGGACAGCGTTTTATGTAGCACATTGGGTGACAAAGGCAGATCTCTGTTTTTCTTACAGTCAAGCTGAGGTTAGACATAGCCATTTAGGAAGAAAAATGAAGACTCACAAGTCACTGTGCATTGGCTGGAGCTGAGATTGCTCTGCTACAAGGGAGGACAGGAGACCTCTTGAGGCCTGACAGGGTACGTTATAGTAACAAGTGAGGTTAGACTGAAGAGATGAAGCTGGGTGCGGCAGCTCACCTATGTCCCAGCACTATAGTGGAAGCAGGGAGAGCAGGAATTTGAGGCCATTCTCAGTTACATAGTAAGCTTGAAGCCAGGCTTAAGATACATGAGTTCCTGTCTCAAAAAGAAAAGAAAGAAGCCAGGTGGTTATGGTGCACACCTTTAATCCCAGCACTTGGGAGGCAGAGACAGGCAAATCTGTGAGTTTGAGGCTTGCCTAGTTAACATCAGAGTTACAGGCCAGCCTGATTCACAGAGCAAATACCAGGACAGCCAGGGTTACACACAGAGAAACGCTTTCTCAAACAAAACAAAAGGTTGAAGACTAGTCAAAGAAATCTAGTCTGGAAGGATCTAGGAGAGAATAATACATCCCTAATCATAGGGGCTTTCAGTATGAGGTTGTAGATTCAGATTTCTGCTAAAGTTGTGGCAGTGGTATACAAACTTGACGGTTGTGAGGGTAGTCTGGAGAATTTGCTAAAATCTAGCTTCTAGATTTCATTCCCAGCGTTCCAGTTTAGACTGCTGTTGGGGTCTGAGAAGCTGCATTTCCTATGCATCTCCATGAACTCTGATGGAGTAGTTCACACTTTGAGAACATCACTGTGGGATCCATAACTCAAGAAGGCCATAATGGTGTGAACCATGGTGGCTTTGGGAGCAGTCTGGAATGGTGTGGTAGAACCGCATGCCACAGGTAGTGGCAAGTGAGCAGGGGGCAAGAGGGAGATCTGTGTTTAGCATCTCTGACCTGCTCTTCCCAGCTCCCTGAAGTCCACACCAACAGCTGTGACAACATCTCCCAGTTCTCTGTGGACAGCATCACTAGCCAGGAGAGCAAGGAGCCTGTGTTCATTGCAGCAGGGGATATCCGGTATGGCCAGATCCCATCATCCCTCATTTTCATCTTTTTTTCCAGACTCCACTTGTCTCTTTATCCCTTTCCTGTGTCTACTCACCAGCTGTCAGCCTGTGTTTTTCTCCTTTGTCTCATTATTCTGTTCTTGTCCTGAAGCCTCTATACTTGAGTCAGTGAAGGTGCAATAGTGGCATTGCTTTAGCTATTACAAAAAGAAATGACATTTTAAGAGAGTTCCAAAAAGAAGCGAGTGCCTCAGAGGGCATTTGAGCATCACTCTCGAAGTTGCCCTTGGCTAGTATGTGCAGACCCTGGGTTCAGTTCCCAGCTCCATGAGAAAACCCAAAACCAAGAATCAAAGTGAGATCTCAAAATTGTATCCTTCACTTTGAGGGTAGAGAGGATACCTTGTTTAAGGTTCAGATTCTGGAGTCACACCCATTCTGAATCAATATTGGGATAGAGTAATGAGGAAACCCAGGTTCTTTGCATGATCATAAGCCACCAGGTTAGCAAAATAATGCTATTGATTATGCTTCTTCTGGGTTTCCTAGTGCCAAGGTTCCCATCTGTGTCCAGAATCTAGGAACAGTGGCAAGAAAACGGGCAAAGGCATTGCAGCTCTGAGATAACTCTTCCAAATAAATTGTGTATTTTCTTCCTACTAGACGGCGCCTTTCAGAACAACTGGCTCATACTCCCACAGCCTTTAAACGAGACCCTGAAGACCCTTCTGCAGTTGCCCTCAAAGAGCCCTGGCAGGAGAAAGTGCGGTGAGGAGGGTAGAGGGTGGAAGGTGGTCTTGTAACTCCTCTCCAGTGCCTTTCCACCTCTACACTCCATCAGACTTTACTGCCAGCTGAATCCTTACCCTGGCATCACCCTGTGACTTCTGTCTTCCTAGGAGGATCAGAGAAGGCTCCCCGTATGGTCATCTTCCCAATTGGCGGCTCCTGTCAGTCATTGTCAAGTGTGGAGACGACCTTCGGCAGGAGCTGCTGGCTTTCCAGGTGTTGAAGCAGCTGCAGGTGAGGAAGGGAAACAAACACACAGGGAGGGGCAACGAAAGGCGGCTCAGTGAGACTCCAGCACTCTTGAGGACCACACAGGCTTTCTCAGGGAGCTCTGCTGAGTACTTGCTTCTACCCAGGCTGAATGGGAAGATCAAACTGAAACTGGCTTGTCTTTCTCCAGAGCACAGCCACATGATGAACAGCTCTATGGTGACCTCTGCTGGTTTTTTCTAGAACTACATCTGCCCTCTTCTGACCACTGAATGTGCCAAGTTTGTCTTTTTTTTTTTTTTTTTTTTTTTTGATTGAGAGTGTGATTTCACATAGGGACTTATGTAGTTCAAGCTAGCCTCGAACCCAGTTATAGCCAAAGGCAGCCTTGCACTCTTAATTCTTCTGCCCTCACCTCCCAAGTGCTAGGATTATATGTGTGTACCACCAGGCTTTGGGTTTGTCTTTAAAATCAGAACTTCCCAAATGATCTATCTGGGATGGATGGATTTACTGTGTGCTGAGGTATTTGTGTTTTGTTTTGTCTTTTTTTAAAGATCTATTCATTTTTATTTATGTGTATGGATGTTTCCTATGCATGTATGTGTATAGTGTCCATAGAGGCCAGAGCAGGTATCAGATCCCCCTGGAACTGGAGTTACAGTTGTGAGAAGCCAAGTGGGTGCTAGGAACGGAACCCAAATCCTGTGTAAGAGTAGGAAGTGCTCTTAACCCCTGAACCATCTCTCTAGCCTTTGCTTTGTCTTTTTGAGACAGGGTCTTACTCTGTAGTTCAGGTTTACCCGGAACTCATTAAGTAGTTCAGGCTGGCCTTGAATTCATGACAGTCCTCGTGCCTTAGCTTGAGTACTAGACTCACAGGTGTAAACTGCTGTGCCTGGTACACTGTTGAGATCACCGGGTCTCCTGGGTCGGTGACCTGCAAAAGGCTTCACCTGTTCAATCCAATGCTTTATAATACTTGTTTGTAGTTTTTCTTTGGTTTTTGTGTTTTTGTTTTTCTTTTTCCAGACAGGGTTTCTCCGTGTAGCCCTGGCTGTCCTGGAACTCGCTCTGTAGACCAGGCTGGCCTCAAACTCAGAGTGCTGGGATCAAAGGCATGTGACAACACTGACTGACTTGTTTGCAGGTTTTTTGAGTAGTGGAGGTGGCCTGAACTTTCTCCTGGTTTTTGGTTTTGTTTTTAGAAAGGATCTCACTGTAGCCTCAGCCCAGTACCCTCTGTATGCTCAGCAAATGTCAGTGTGTCCTTGTGCCGTGCCCTCCTACCTCCTACCTCAGCTTCCCAAGTACTAGGTTATAGTATGTGACACATGGCTTAAGTGCTTGCATTTTGTTTTGCTTTTGAGACAGGATCTTGTGTAGCTCAGGCTGACCTCTGACTCTCACTTATAAACAATGTTGACCTCAAACGCCTTGAGCCTCCTGCCTCTGCCTTCCACATGCTTGGAACACAGGATTATGCCACCACATCCAGTAGTATTTTCATTTTTATAATTTATTTTTATTTTATGTACATTGGTGTTTTGCCTGCATATATGTCTTTGTGAGGGTGTCAGAAGCCCTGGAAATGGAGTTACAGACAGGTGTGAGCTGTCATGTGGGTGCTGGGAATTGAACCCAGGTCCTCTGGGAGAGCAGACAGTGCTCTCAACTACTGAGCCATGTCTCCAGCCCCATATTTTCATTTTCTAGAGATGCTTTCTCTGCCCTTAAATCCCATATTTTTATTATTCAAACTTATATTAATAGCTCCTACTCTTATTTAGCAGGCAACAGTGAGATTTCCTGTTCTGTGTTTTCTACCTCTGTGTGTAGTCTCCTCCCTTTGCCAGGCCCTGGACTTCCTTTTCAAACTTCCTGGTTCTGCTATTTGTGGTAGTGTACACTTGTAATCTTAGAATGTGTAAAGTGGAGACAGGGATCATGAATCCAAGACTAGCCTGGGCTACATAAGTCCCTATCTCAAACAAAAAACTTGCTGGTTCTTAGTAGGTCAGTGAGTCTTGCTTATTTAATGCCCTTCAATCCAAGATATTAAGGGAGAGAGGTTGAGGAGAAGAAAACATTATTATTCTCTAGTTTGGAGAAAGATGAACCACTCTTGGTACCTTTGTGTCTCTTCACAGTCGATTTGGGAGCAGGAGCGAGTGCCTCTTTGGATCAAGCCATATAAGATTCTTGTGATTTCAGCCGACAGTGGCATGATTGAACCAGTAGTCAACGCTGTGTCCATCCATCAGGTGAAGAAACAGTCACAGCTCTCCTTGCTCGATTACTTCCTACAGGAACATGGCAGTTATACCACTGAGGCATTCCTCAGTGCCCAGCGCAATTTTGTGCAAAGTTGTGCTGGCTACTGCTTGGTCTGCTATCTATTGCAAGTCAAGGACAGGTAAGTGACTTGTGCCCTCATCCTAATCTTTCACAAGGGTCTTCTCTGTCCCTTCACATAGAGTCCTCAGTTGATGAAGCCAAACATATTTTTAGGAAAGATTTGTTTGTGTGACATTAAGCCATAGAGGCAGACTGACAAGTGCTGGAGGAAGGGAGAAAAGAAACAAGAGGACGCAAGGGTGAAGATTTGAGTGGGTAGAGTGGAGGGTAAGGGAGAATGAGGACAGAGGGCTGTGGAGACAAGATGAGGAATGTTCATTGGGATCAAGCCTTGGGTAGCAAGGAGTGACATTTGTCTTTCATTATGCGACTAAAGAGTTTGGGGAATTTTGTTCTTGTTTTCTGAGAGAGGGTCTTACTATGTGACCTTAGCTGTCTTGTAACTTGATATGTAAACCAGGCTGCTCTTGAACTCACAGAGACCTTCCTGCCTCTGCTTCCCGAGTGTTGGGATTAAAGGCCTTTGTCACCACAATCAGCAAGAATTTTATTTTGCAAGAGAGGAATGATCTGTTCTGATCTGTAGATGCCATCTGATGCTGTAGGGTGAAAGTCAGGGTCCTTAGCAAGAAAGCAGAAGATACTAGAACCTGGCACAAAGGTAGTGTCAGTGACTGAAAACAGAAAGGAAATGGATGGGGAATACCATGAAGATAAGCTTGAAATTCCTAGTCAAAGCTTTCCTTTCTTCTCATTCCAACATAATTTCCCAAACTTTTATGTGTATGGGTGTTTTTCCTGCATGTATATCTGTGTATGCCTAGTGCCAGTGGAGGCCATAAGGAGGGCATTGGCTCTTCTGGGACTGGCCTCCGTGTGTGCTAAAAAGTAACTCCTCATCCTCTGAAGGAGTACATGTACTCTTAACAGTGAGTCCTCTCTCCAGTCCCCAATTTCCACAGTTTTAACATCGTTTGTTTTGCCTGAACTGTCACTTCTCTCAATATCACATGACTTTTATGAGGCCTAACTTCACATAGGTGAAGCATTGATGATACCTATGCTCTTGCAGTCCTAAGAATATCTTCAAGTGATTTGAGGTTTGTGGCCTAAATCCTCCTTTTGGTTGTACCTCTCCCTAAGAATACCATGGCTGGGGCTTGGCATGTTGGCTCAGTGGATTAAAGCTATTGCTCAGTCCCTAGAACCAATTCCAGAGTTGTCATCTGCCCTCCACACATACACCCTGGCAGGAGCTTTAGCATATGCACACATAGACATATACACACATAGTAACACTAAAAAAATAAATTTTAAAAAGAAATGATAGCCTATGCTTCCAGGGCTCCCAGTGACCTGGCACCCAATTGACATTAGTCAGCCGAGCAGCTTCTCAGAAACTAGCACCATCTATTTGGTGACTGTATACCACATATGACCATGGCCTCATTACGTCAGCTGAGAACCTCAAGTGAGTGCTCCCTCGTGAGGAAGATAAGGGTCAGTAGTAGCTTTGGGAGACTATAGTCATTCCACCCTGCGAGCCTACCAAGCAAGCAAAGGCTCGAGGTGAGAGAGCTGTAGGATCTGGATTGCCAGTTTTAGACTATCCATGAGCTTTGGGATTTTGAACCCAGGATTTTGAAGCCCAGGGCTCAGCTACAAGATTGAATAAGTGAGAACAGGGAAGCTTGGTGTGGGAAGTCTATGTGTTGCTTTTATTGGTTAATGAATAAAGAACTGCTTTGGACCTATAGCAAGGCAGAACTTACCTAAGTTCTGCCTAAGGTTCTCAACTGAATGCTGGGAAAAAGAAGGGTAGAGTTGGAAAGATGCCATGGATCCGCCACCAGAGATAGAGAGCAGATGCACGCTTTACATCAGCATAAATAGTATATGAGGCCATGCCCAAGTGGGCAGGTGACTAACTGTAGGATTTCCTACAGCAGAAGCTATCACTAGTTAGACCTCAGGAATTTCATTTTAGAGACTGATATGTAAAAATAATAAAATAAATAATAAATAAAACCACCAAAAGAAAACTTTTGGAAGATGTGAAAGTCTTTCCCTTTGGTATAGCAGGGAGCTGATAACCATTTTTTTTTATTAATGTATGAGTTTTTACTTACATGTATTTCGGTGCACCACCTGCATAGTATGCCCAACAGAGCCAGATAGCATTAGGTCCCTTGGGAATAGAGTTACAGATGGTTCTTAGCCACTATGTGGGTGCTGGGAATTGAACCTGGGTCCTCTGGAAGAGCAGCCAGTGCTTTTTACTGCCGAACCATCTCTCCAGCCCCTGATGAATTATTCCTAATAACCTAAAAAATAGATGTGAGTTGGTGATGTAGCTCAGGTTGAAGAGTGCTTTGCTTAGCATGCACAATGCTCTGGGTTTGATCCCCATTAACACTGGCAGGTAGAGGCGGTAAGTGCAAGATTATCCTAGCATTTTTAAAATTTCTGGGAAGCATCTCACAAGATAGTGGCTACAAAGAAAATAAAGTTATTGGTGTTGATAAACTGTAGGTCTAGGCTTCAACTTGTTATAAAATCACACACACTTCCCAGGTGGTGGTGTCATACACCAGTAATGCCAGCACTTGGGAGGCAGAAGTAAGCGGATCTCTGTGAATTTGAGGCGAGCCTGGTTCACAAAGGGAGTTCCGGGACAGCTAGAGCTGTTACACAGAGAAACCCTGTCTCGAAAACCAAACAGGTAACACATACTCAACATGGTCACATAAAGCAAACCAAAATTGGTCATCCTCACTAACAACTATCCTGCTTTAAGCAAGTCTGAAATAAAGAAGTATGCCATGTTGGCCAAAACTGTTGCCTGACACTTCACATGCAGAATATGCTAGAGTATGCACTGTCATCAGCCAGGTGGTTTGTCATCAACCAAAGCCTGCCCGAACAAGCCAGGGAGAGCAAACCATTCAGATGTTTACATGGAATTCGCCAGAGCTTATTTTCTACTGCATTTCTATTTTCCATGTATGTTTGCTTGCAAGTATGTGTGCACACCATGTTTGTGCCCGGTGTCCACGAAGGCCAGAAGAGAGTGACTGATAGCCTAAAATTGGAGTTACAGTAAGCTGCCATGTGGGTGCTGGGAATTGAACCTGGGTCCTCTGGAAGAGCAGCCAGTGTTCTTTACTATTCATCTCCTCATCCGCCCCAATGCTGCTTTTTAAAAAGGGGGGGGGGTGGGGGAGGCCGAGGATATAGAGAGGATGTAGCTCAGTGGGTGGAGTTTATCTAGACTGCACAAAGGTCAAGGTTTAGTCTCCAGTGTCTCTTAAGACCAGGCACACTGGCACACACTTGGAGGAATATCAGAAGATCAAGGTCATCCTCATATGTTCCAGGCCAGCTTGGGGTACATGAGACTGTCTTAGAATAAAAAAATAACATCAAAGGCATATGGACTCGTTTTTCATGTCACATATTCCATATTCACAGTTTGAACATGGAAAGTTTTTCTTGTTCAAAACTAAGGCTACAAAAGGGTAACCAGTTTTTGGCGCCTCTGCACTGTTATGGGTTTTCTCTGTGTATCAGGGAAAAGTTAGCTCAACAACGGTGGACCAAAACAGTAATTTTTATATATCATTACTTGGACAGATCCAGTGTTAAAATTCACTTCTTCCTTTTATTTCTAGAAAATGTTCACTCTGTTATCCTTGCATTAAAATCTTAGTAGGTTTGGAGGGAAAGTTGACAAAATTGTCACTTGTGGGGGAAAAAGCCTGTCCATTGCTCTGGTGCAACCAAGAAACTTACCTCCTTTTATTAAGTGTACTTCGGGGATTTCTAATAGTATGAATTTCCAGTAAGTGGAATTTGTTATGTTCTGAGTTTTAAAAGGTGAAATATGAATACATTTTAAAAATGTATCCCCAAAAATGTCACTGTCAAGACAAACAAGAAAAGAGTAAATTAGGACAAATAAAAACAAAACAAAATCCTTCCTTTAAAAGAGAGTCTTAAGGCAACTTTGCAGGTAGAAGCTATCTCTGGTAGTTAACAGAATAAGAGAAAATGCCTGTGCTGGCTTTGGGAGTCTGGGCGGGGGGGTGGGAGTGTCGTTTGTTTGCTCTGGCTCTCTAGATTGTGTGGGCACTGTTACTTTGTTAGTGCTTCTCCACAGCTGGAAGGATTCAGGTGGGTTTCCACCCCTCCTCTTCTAGCCAGCCTGGCTCAGACAAGGTGGTGCTCAGATGGAGCATGAGTGAGAAAGCTGGCTGTGCTGAAAAGGCCAGGTCTCACATGCTTAGCATGTTACTTGTTCTTCCTGGCCATAATGTGGGACTCGCCAAGACCTGGGATTTATCTCCCCTTAACTCTTCTTCCACTGCAGCTGGCCTGTAGTCTACCTCTCCTAAGGTTTGTATGTAAGTGATTTGCCCTACACTGTTGTAGATAGACTTTAACTCTTCTCAAACAGACATGATGGCTCATTTGTATAACCTTAGCACTTGAGAGGCTAAGGCAGAAGGACTGCATGACTTTGAGGCTGACTTGGGCCACATTAAGTTCCAGGCCAGCCTAAGCTACAGTGTAACATATCTTTAAGAGAAAGGGGGGAGGGGAAGTTGGGGAGGTAGTTCAGTCCATGAAGTTATTGCTATAAAATCATGAGGACCTGAGTTCAATCCCCAGAACCCACATTAAAAAGCCAGATGTGGTGGCACAAGCAGAAACCAAGTGATGCCCTGGGCAAGCTGCTCTAGGAACCCAGTATTCAAGAGGCCGAGGTAGATGGATCTCTGAAAAGTTTGAGGCCAATTTAGTGAGTGCAGATCAGCCAGGCAGGGCTACCTAGTAAGACCCTGTCTCTCAAAAAAAAAGAAATTGTAGATGGCTTCTTAGGAACAATGCCTTAAGGTGAACTCTGGCTTCCACACGACTGCATGAATGTAGACCCACATGAACATGGACACACACAAATACAAAATAATAAATTGTCTTCAGTCTGCTTGCTTCTAATTGTTCTGTACTGATGGGACTTTTGTTCTACAGTGGGATGATTAAAAATTAAAATCCATGCACTCAGGTGGCAGAGGCAGGTGACTCTGTGCTTGAGGCCAATTTGGTCTACATAATAAGTACCACCAGATCAGCTGGGGCTACATAGTGAGACCCTACCTAAAAAAATAAAACAGGTAAATTGATGAATGAGGGCCTCTCATTTAGACAGCTAGCTATTGGATACTCAAAGGCCTTCTTCCCTTACATCCGTGTTTACTACTAAATCTAGCTCAAATTTGGCTACTAGAAGTGCAATTTTTGGGAAATTAGCATGTATTGCAGTCTGGCTTCAAACTCTTTGTATTTGAGAATGACCATTAATTTAGATCTTCTAGCCTCAACCTCCCAAGTGCTAGAATTATAGGCAAGTGCCATTATTTACATTCCATTTATGCTGTGTTAGGGCACAAAGCTAGAAACCCAGGGCTTCCTACACGGTAGGCAAACACTCCACTAACTGAGCTATATCCTCAGCCCTGTGACAATCTTAAAACTATTTTTATTAAGCTGATAATTGAATTTTATACCCCAGTCTTTGTAGTTTTCAGACTTCTTTTCATTGCTAGTTTTAGGTCCTGAGAAATTGCCCTAGACTTGTAAGCAACAGGAACCAGAAACGTGGCTGTCTGATTTGGTGAGGCCACTGTGCAGCCTGAGATCCACCGCAGCCAAACTTACTGTTGCCTCTTCCTCCTCCCCTTCCTCAGGCACAATGGGAACATTCTTCTCGACGCAGAAGGTCACATCATCCACATCGACTTTGGCTTCATCCTCTCCAGCTCACCCCGAAACCTGGGCTTCGAGACATCAGCCTTTAAGCTGACCACTGAGTTTGTGGATGTGAGTCAAAAAAGAGAGGTGCCTCCAGGGCTCACTGTGTTCTTCCTGTGAGGATGAGCTGATGGGCTCCCCCAAATCAGGAAGGAACAGAACAGAAATGGCAGTAAGTCAGGATGAGGCAGTATTTCCTGGGAGCTTTTTTGTGAAAATAGTGAAATCTACCATGATTGCCTTAAGGAAGTTGTGGGAGGCCCATGGGAAAGGACCCACCAGGATCCTCTGTGCACACACTCATCCCACTTCCAGGTAATGGGCGGCCTCAACGGAGACATGTTCAACTACTACAAGATGCTCATGCTGCAGGGGCTGATTGCTGCTCGGAAGCATATGGACAAGGTGGTGCAGATTGTGGAGATCATGCAGCAAGGTGCGGCTGGGGAGCCCAGGGCCTGGACTGCCCTCAGGTTGAGTTGCCTGGAACTTAGAATTTTAGGAAGTTGATCCCACCTCAAGACTCAGGTGGGGGAGGGCTTCTCAGGGGGTTCCATTTCCCCTTTAGAACACTCTTCTTCACCCTAGCAGAAGGGTGGGGGAGAGGGGTGCAAGAGGAAAGGAACAGCAGAAAGCTCTTAGATACCCTCACCTCATAGAGAAAACACCCATCTTCGGCCTCCTGGTATTTCCAGTCTTCCTCATTCAACTGTATTTCTGTCTCCTTCTCTGCTAAATCTGGTGCTTCTACCTACTGTCCTCCCATCACACTTGACGTAACTGCCCTGGCCTCAGCCACCACTTCAAGTTACCTTCCTTTTCTTAATAACCTATCCTGCTCTGAACTGAGTTCCTCCTGATTCTCATCTTTTACCGTTTACTCTGCTGCTTCCCCAGTCCCTCAGTCATTTGCATAGGATCCCTTATCCCAATTCCTCTGGGCTCCCTCTTTAACCCCCCCCCCCCATAAAAACCCTTTCAGATATTTACCCCACCTAAGCTGCCAGTCTCCTCCCCATCCTTGCCCATAACCCACAGGTTGCCGCCGTTGCTCAGGAGCATCTCTGTCTGGCCCCGTGGTGACGGTGGCCCAGGTCATCTGTGAGTGTCAGACCTAGCATAGGCAGAGGCCTGCAACCAGATAAGTGCACGGCCCATTCCCAGAGATTTTTTCCCAGCCTCCCCCTGGGCCCTAAGACTTCTCTCCAATGCTTACTGGGGGATACTGTGGGCTTGCCTTTTCCTGGTCTGCCCACATAGAGGAACTAAGGCCTACGGGATGAGAATGGACTGAGGGCCTCCCAACTGCTTTTCTCTGTACAAACAGAATTGTTCTATACCACCAGGAATCCCTGTGGCGGGGAGGGAAGGAGTACTTTATTATACTTGTAGCTCTGTTCCCTCTGTCTACTAACTACTAGCCTGACTTCCTAATTGTCACTGCTTTCCCCCCAGGTTCGCAGCTTCCTTGCTTCCATGGCTCCAGCACCATTCGCAATCTCAAAGAGAGATTCCACATGAGCATGACTGAGGAGCAGCTCCAGCTGCTGGTGGAGCAGATGGTGGATGGCAGCATGAGGTCCATCACCACCAAACTCTACGACGGCTTCCAGTACCTCACCAATGGCATCATGTGATACCCTTCTCAGGCCCAGAAGTGGTGGGATCGAAGGCACCCTTCCTAGGAGGACCCTTGCCTAAGAAGCCCCAAATCACAAAACCCTACCTACCTAACCAACTACCCAAGGGTAATGGAAGGCAAGAAATTCAAAGGATCATGTGGTAACCATGAGAGCTTGCCAAAGGGTAGGAGAGCCAACCACAGGGTCCAGACTTGCTGGGGCTTCCCCACCTCCTGCTGTTGTCAGTATTACCACCTGACAGATTCCAGGACTCACTGCCCTCCAGAGAACAGAGGTGATGAAGATGAAGAGGATGGGGCCTTCTTCCCCTCTCCGGAGTCTCGGAGGTTCTTTCTACAAACTGTCTTTTATTTTCCCTGGGTCCCATCAAGATGGGAGGAGGAGTGGGTTCTTGGTACCTAGGATGTAATCCTATGTTTGACCATGCTGCTGCCCAACTCTGTCCCTTCCCAGGGGCTGACCCCTAGCCCACATACCCCCTGGCAGGTGGGGTTCTAACCGTAGGGTCCTGCACTTGCTGAGGTTCCCCATCATGGGATTAAGGAAGGGAATTGTCATAATCCCTCTAATGTACTGAGGGTATTGGCCTAGCCACAGGGAATTTCTTACCCTGATCCTTTCCTCACACCCAGGGAAATAGCTCTCAATTTTTTTTTTATTTTTAATTTTTGTTTGAAATAAAGTCCTTAGTTAGCCATCTGTGTCTTGTCTGAGTTACCTCTGGGGGTGGGGTTGGTGGAAGGGGCTAAATCCAGCATACAAAAAGCACCAAACACACAAGATGAAGATTACTTTTTCCATCTGTCTTAGTCAATACCGCCTCTTCCCTGAAAAGGGCTGCCCCAGTTTGGACTCACCCCTCCTATCAGTACACATTGTCCAACTCACATAAAAAGAAAAGCCTGGATGGGGATTAAACCACAAGCAGTTTTAATAGTCTGGTTCTCTCCCTCTTGTTTCTCCCAGTTAGTATTATTACTACAAGAATAAAGGATTCCTGAGAGCCTGTCCTCTCCTCTCCCTGGACCCCATCTGACAGGACTCATCCCCACCAACCCCCCACCCCTAGATTTCTGGGGGAAAAGACAAATGGAAGGCACTGCAGGGATTGGGGCGGGGTGTTAGTGCCAATGAGTGTTAAAGGAGGGGCTACTAGGGCAGAACCCAGCACAGAGGAAGAAATCTAGCGGAGGGGTAGAAGCTAGACCTTGTACATCCTTCAGTTTCCCCTGTGCCTGTCTAGCAGGCTTCCCAAGGTCCTGTCCTCCCACCCAGTTATACACTGGGGGGTCTGCAGCAGAACATTAGTGTTGGCTTCAGAAAGGAAGAAAGGGGAGTCCACTTAAGTAGGACCCAGGGACCAAACCCAAGAGCAGGGGGGTGCAAGTTAATAGAACCCTCAAAAAGCCTTTCCCTCAGGGGCGAAAAGAATCAAACAAAATACATGTTAAACTTCCCAGCCCAGGGAGGAGACAGCAGCAGTGAAACCAAAGTTCCAGGGAAGAGGAGAGGCCAATCCTAGGCCTGGGACCTAGTTGTCCCCACTGCCCCCCTGCCGGGCCCTGATGAATGCCATGCCATGAGTACGGAAATGGGTCTTGAGATTCAGAGGGCTATCACAGCTCTTGCCACAGACCTTACACGTCAGAGGGCCTCCAGAAGCAGGCAAAGGTGAATCTCCACCCTCTGGGTCAGAGCGTATTGGCGGAACCTCTTCTTCCCCATCCCCTACCCCCAGGGCACTGGCTTTACCCCCAGCCCGTCTCTTCTTGTGGCTAATGAATCGGTGGCGGCTCAAGGAGCCTGGGGAAGCAAAGCACAAGCCACAGTCAAGGCACTGCTGTGTGCCACCATCCACCCTCAGCCCCACCATAACGCTCTGTTCCGCTGAGCCACTGCTCCTATAGCGCAGAGGCCCATGGCCTCCTGACCCAGGGCCACCCCGCAGGGACTTGGCTGGTGGTGTTGTACTGTCAGGTTCCTCACTGCATGAGTCAGAAGACTGGCGGCGTTTCCGTCCAGGGCCCTGGAGAAAAGTGGAAGAAACTGGGCCTCACCATCACCCTGGCTTCCTGAGACCAGGGCCTCACCAGTTTCTCACTCCCACGACATACCGTAAGGAGGACCTCGCCTTACCTGAGCTCTGCCACCAGAGCCTCGCACCAGGGTGCCTCCTCTGTTAGGAGGAGACTGGGTCCCAAGGGGCAAGCCATGTCGGACTTGGACATGCTTCTCCAGGATCAGACGACTACTGAAGGTACGCTTTCCCTCTGTGCAGTACCTAGCAGAGGGAAAGTGGGCAGCTTAGCACCAGAGGCAAAAACCCAGAGATCCTGAGAGAAGGAAGGCTGCCAGAGCAGACGGAGGCCTCGACCTTTGGCTCCCTCAAGCAGGAGGCAGGTGAACAGGTACTCTGGGAGTAAGGGTCATCTACCAGGTAGGAAAAGGGAATGGTGAGTAAGGGTTACCTGCATGGGTAAACTCTCTTGATTCCCTCATGATTGACCCTGACATGGCGCCTCAGGCTGGGGGCAGAGCAGAAGGAGCGCTCGCACAGGCGACAGGGGAACTTTTTCACTGCCTGAAGAGCAAGGGGTGGGAAATTTCAGTCACACAGGTCAACCCCAAGGTTACCCTCCAACCTACCTTTCCCAGAGGAAACCCAACTCACCTTGCCATGTTCCTTCTTCATGTGAGTCACATACTCATCACGCTCGGGAAACCAGGAGTGACAAAGGCCACAGGTCCAGCCCCCAGGCCCACCACCCCCACCTTTGATGCCTTTGCTTCCCAGGTCCCGACGGGGTCGTTTGGTTGGGCGAGGAGGCTCAGGGGAGCTGGGCAGTTCCTCTTCAGAAGATGAGGATTCCTCCGTAGCAGGGGCTGCCTCTGCCCGAGACACAGCCAGCTCCTCAGGCTCAGTCTTGGGGGTCAGAAGGGCATCTCCAGCCCCTTTCCCAACTGCCTCCTCCCCCAAGCATCCAGACTGGTGAGTATTCTATAAGAGGAAGACAAGAGGAGTGGCTATGTGGAGGAGAGCCTGGCTTTGCCAAAGTCCTCGCTTCTCCCTACTCCCCATTTCCAGAGGGTGATGCGGCTCTAGTTCAGGTCAGCACAGCTAGCTACGGAGCCAGTCCCTAGCCCTTTGATCCTCCTGTACCTTGAGATGTTCCAGCATGGTCTTTTTTTGGGCAAAAAGCAGAGGACAAGATGGACACTTAAAGACACTGACACGCTGGGGCAACAAGTGCTGGTCAAAGTGGGAGGAGAGAAGCGGTTTGTGGGTGAAGACTGTGTCACACATGGCACACTTATAGATCAGCCTGTGGAAGCAGAAAAGGCAGTGTAAGACATTGTGATGGGGCAGCAGAGCCCTGCCCTGCGCCCCACCCTCCGCCCACCCCTCCTTTTCAAGCTCCTTCCCCAGGTCTCACTTGGCTTGCTGGGAGAGGAAGCTGGGATGCTGGGAGTAGAGGTGGGCATGGGCGCTGGGTGCAGACTTGAAGGCCATGGGGCAGATGGGGCACTTGTGGAAAACTTCGCAGTGTGATGCCTGTATGTGGGACTTGATGGAGTTCACACCCCCAAACACCACTGCACAGCTCGGGCACCTTAGAGAGGAAGGGGAGAAAGTGCAGTGAGGCAGGGGCATCTCCAGCACCTCACTTGTTGCTGAGGATGAGGTGGACTGCAGGACGTAAGCAAGGCAGAGAAAGGAAGGAGGTCAACTGTCCCCAGAGGCCTGAGGCGGCAGAGCTGGAGCCCCAGCAGGAGCCCTGCTCTCCACTGCTCTCATGGTGCATGACTTGAAGGCAGAGCATGACAACAGAGCCGAGGGACAGGAAAAACGACAGCCCTCCTTGAGAACCCATCTAAAAGGTTGCTGTAAGAAGGAGATGCTAAAGTCCTATGGGGAGATGAGTATGAGGCACCTGTATCCTACACGGCGAGAGAAATGCAGGCAGGCCTCTCGAAGATGGGTCTGAAAATTGGCTTGAAGAAAGTTGCCCCCACACTCGGGACAGACGTGCGGGGGGCGATTCTTATGTGTGCGCTGGTGGGCACTGTAGCTGCAACGATTGGGGAGCATCATGGGGCAGGATGGGCACACCTGTCAAGAGGTTAAACAAGGTTAATTGATGAGGGGTGACCTGTACTCCATTACTTTGCCTAAGCAAGCTCTTAGTACCTTCCTGGATTTTACCTCCATAGTGTCTGGCTGTCCCTTCCCCAAGAAAAATGATAGACAACTCACATTGCTGGTAGACCCAAGTGCAGGAGGGCCCAGCTGCTGGAAGTGGGCTGCCATGCCAGCCTTGTCCCGGCATTGCTCCTTGCACTCCAGACAGCGAAAGCACGTGTAAACAGAGGCAGCTGGGGGAGCAGGTGGTTCTGTCGGGAGTGGGAGCACAGGGGCTTCAGTGGCAACTGCAGTAATGGTCGAGGAGGTGACAGCCCCCTCCCCCTTGCCCAAAACAGGCAAGGTCAGAGGTCCAGGAATAGGTGGGACAGCCACAGGCAGCAGGGGTGTGATGTCTGGCTGGCCCACCATCTGGTCAAGGGCTACAGGCCTCATGACCAAATGTGAGCACTGCATGACCAGCCCCTTGTCCTTGTGTTCACGGGCATGCAGGAGTAGGCTACACTTGTTGAAGAAGACAAGGCGACGGACACAGTGGTTACAGGTGACCTCTATACGCATGCTTCTGCGATCATAGTGCCGTGCCAGGCTCTTCTCCAGCGAGAAGGCATCCCCACACTCAAGGCAGCGGTAGCCTGTTGGAGGCAGGGCCAGCCCAGCCTCAGCTGGTGGACTCAGGTTCGGTCTATAAGCAGGCAGGAGATTCTTGCTGTTGAGAATCTTGTTGAAGGCCTCTACCAGGCTGGACTGGGTCCGAGAGATCACTGAGCCACCTGCTATGCTTGGCCCCGTAGCAGACTTAGAAGGCTGCACCATCACCACTGAGGCACCATTCACCTTCTGCCCCCCAAGGCCTAACCCTGTCCGCACCTCAGCCTTGGGCAGAGTTTGGGGTACCAGCCCTAATACACTCTTAGTCATAGTCTTAGGGCTGGTGGCATTCCCCCCTGGCAGAACCACAGCTTTGCGGGCAACACTAGCTGCCATTAGCATGGCAGTGCTAGCATTCTGGATGGTAGCCACAGGCAGCACCGTGCCTTTCAGCCTCGTGCCATCACCCAGTTGGACACTCACCACCTTTGGACCCTCAGGGGCTGGAGCTACAGGAGACAGTTTCAGGAAGCTAGCCTCAGCCAGGAAAGCTCCCTCAGTCAAAGGGGCAGGAGGATCAGGTTCTGAGGGAACCCGGGTTACAGTTCTTGTGATATTCCCACAGGATGTTTTAATAGTCTTGATCCGCACCTTGAGGGGTCTAGAAGAGCTGGAAGAGGTAGGGGAATCATTGCTGTCCTCGTCTGCAGCCTCAGCTCCACTAGAGGGGCTCTGGGAACTTCTTGGAGGAGACTTCTCCACTGTTCCCTCATCTTCTTCCTTCAGAGGTTTACAGCTAGACGCCTTTTCAGGGGAAGCAGGAGGGCTCTGGTGTCCTGGAGACTGCTTGAAGGACATTCCAGCCACCTGCTGAGGTGAGGCGCTGGCAGGGATGCCTGCTGCCTCAGGGCTGGAACCTGAGCTTCTCGTAGTAGTTTGGCCCTGGGAATGGTGGGGACTGCAGCTTTCCTGTTTCAAGGCCCCTTCTGGCAGGAGAGAACTAGGAGGCAGCAGGGCTGAACCATTTTCTGGGGCCAGCACAAAAGGGGTGGAGAAAGGAGGTGGGGTCATGTCACCATCCCGAGGTGGGGAGGATTCAGGTCGGGGATCTGGGTGGTCCCCCGGTTCAGACCCAAAATGAGCAAAGAGGTCCAGGGGTGTTTTGCCTTCCACAGCTTTTTCTTTCCAGGCATTCCCATTGGTAGCAGCTGGAGAATGGGGGGTTTCTGAGAGGGATGGCTCAGGACCCCCAAATCCATTCTGCATCAGACAAGACCCCACAGGTCCTTCCTTAGTTACATCCCCAGCCTTGGTCTCTTCTCCTGAAGTCCCAGGCAGGGTCTCAGCCTGCTCTGGACACACTGTGTTTTTGACAATGACACTGACAGTGGAGGTATCTGGTGGCTGTGGAAGGCCATGACCAGAGGCCTCAGCTAGAATCTTAGGGTCATCCACAGTAGCTGCTGCCACCGCTATCTCTTCAGAATCACTTCCTACACTAGGTTCTGGCTTCCCTTGGCCTCCTGGTCCCTCGTTTTCTTCTGGCCCAGAGTGAATGGCTTCATTTGCATCAATGTCAGGGATGTCAAAAGCAGCAAGGAGGTCATCAAAATCAGGTGTCTTCATGTCCCCCATAGCGACAGGTCCCAGACCTAATAAAAAGAGTAAGATTGAGGAGAAACTGGGATGTCTGAAATAGAGACCTTGAACCTCCCTCCCTCAGTAACTCTGTATTTATCCCCTCCAACTTGGTAATCTCCACCACACTGAATGGCGAATCCTGGAAAACTGTTGGAGGTAACTAAAGTCAGGTTAGTGGGAAAACACCAGGTAGTGCCAGCATAAAAACCCAGAGGAAACCAGAAAGAGAGTCTCAGAAATACAAAGAGTAGTAGAAGTTAATGGTTCTCAGAGACATCTCCACAGAAACCAGATCCGTGCCAGGCACAGGACCAATTAACCAATAGGAATATTAAGGAGGACGACAGACAAAATGCTCTAGGTTTCTGGGCTTATTTGTGTCAGCTTGGGATCAATTCATATTCTTCATGGAATATGAACTGGGGGTCCATAGAGATCTGAAGACCAATACACAAAGGAGCAGAGATTAAAGCTAAGACTGAAATTGCTCTTCCTTTAGCTTTATCACTGTGGTTCAACAAGTTACTTCATTGCCTTACTTTTGCTGTTTCAAAGAGGGGACAAGTAACCCACTTATCAAAGTTCTTCTAGAAGCAAAAGATTGGATACTTGAGTGTCGGGTCCAGAACACAATTTATTACTTCAGCTGGGCCAAATTAAGGACATGTGAGGTCAAAGAGAAGCTGGCTGCACTGGAAGGAGTATACCCTGGCCACCTAGGGCTAGGGTCAGAGATAAGGGTCATCTAAAGTCATCTGTGAAAGACCTGGAGCTCTAGCATGGTGAGCAGGGAGAAACATATTCAAGGGAGGACAGAAGAGGACAGAAAGAGGCAAAGAAAGGGAGAGGCATAGTCACACAGGCCCCAACTGTGTCCTTTCTTGTCACAAACACCTGCTGCTTGCTCACCTACCTTCCCCAGAGTGTCTTTCCTCCTCCCTCCTCCACCTTGCTCTCTCAGGGTTAAAACTCCAGGGTATGAGCTGATCCACACAGCTGCCACAATGGGGAAGCTCCTCCTTCCCTCTGCCATTGCCACTCTGAGCGCCTCACATAGTCTACCTCCTAACTCAAACTCCATCTTCTCGGGCAACAATGGCCTAGGAAGGCTCCCCCAACCTCAACCAGATCCAACAGGGATGGGGGGTTAGGTCCCACAAGCAACAAGGAGGCCAGCTCAGAGACTATGGGAGACCCGAGCGCTATCCTCCATTGGTTCTTTACCATAAGTATTTCTGTAGGAAATGGAGAAAGGATAAATTCGCTCCCCTTATATGTTCCCTGCCCAGGATGCAAGCCATTTCCCAGGGCCAATTCTCTCACCTCTTTCCAGCCTTCAGACTGTAACTGGAGATAGTCCCAGCAGGTGGCGGCTGGCATTGCACGGACCAAGGTGGGGGTGGGGGGCAAGGGTACCAACTAGAGGAAGAAAGGGGAGTCCTCCTTGCACCGTACCCCCTTACTTAATTCCGCGCAGGGTTTAACAAAGCCCTTAGTTCTGCCCAGATGAATCGCTAGGTCCCTCTTCAGTTCAGCTCTCTTAAGTCGGGAGACCTGGGCTACCTTCCGACTCAAGCTCCCAACAGAGAGGGTCGGTGGAGTACAAAGCCAACTAAGAAAACACCTGCTAAGTGGCCTCTCCCAACCACCTCCCTCTGGCGTGCAAGTGACTTGGAGGTCATCCGATAGCCACCTGGAGCAGACAGTGGGCCAAGCGGAGAGGCTTAGGGCCGATGAAGATCCTCCCCTCAGCCGCCAGGCCTCTGGAGCTGCCATCTCCTTACCCCCTTTTCCCTCTGTCCCCCAAAAGCAGAAAGAAGGGGCCTAATAGGAAGAGGGTTAACAGACCCGCGTCGGGTGGGGGCTCCACTGCCCTTTGCCCAAGGCCTGCTGCGCAGAGCAAAGCCAAGGGGCCAGGGCCCGGCCGGGGGCGATTAGGTTGCGGCCAAGCTGGGCAGCATTAAGTCCCTGCCATCTGCCAGGGACTGGAGTGGGAAGCAAGCCCGGGGTTTCGGGTAGGGGACGAGAAGTACATTAAAAAAAACTGGAGGGTAAACTGAGGCGAGTGGTGCTTCTTTCACTTTCACCGGCTAAGAACTCAAGGCAGGGCCTTGGCCAGGCCAAGCCCTTTAGGATCTGCGGCGCTGCACGTCGGGGGCCAGGACTCCCCGGCAGTGGGGAGTGGCACGAGGGGAGTGGAGACACATGAGGGGGCGGTCCTTGCGTGACTCGAGGCTCTGCAGCCAGGTCAGACCCAACTCGAATCTGGTCCCCCTTCTCCTCCGCGCCCCGCGCTGCCTGCCCCGGCTCCGATCCCCTGAGGCTCTCTCGAGACTCGAGTGACTGTAAGGCGCGCAGCGGGTTCGGGGCGCCAGCTCGAGTCCTGCCGGGGCCCGGACGCTGACCCGCACACGGTCGGGATGCAGGCTCCGCTCTGGCTGGGCCCAATTCCCCCGCCCCCACCGCCCGGCACGGACACCATTTTAGGTCGCGACATCCCGCAGCCTCCAGTCCCCCGGCCGCACTCCGACTGCCTCTCGGTGTAGGAGAGCCAGGACTTAGGGGTCCCGGACCCCCCTCCCACGTTACCGGGCTAGGGGCAGTGCTTTCAACAGTCTTGAGTTCCCACCAGCGGTCCTCGAGCACGGAGGCGGCGACCCCGCCAGGCAAGCAGCCGCCCCAGGGGGCGGCGCGGAGAAGGGGGTAGTTGACCAAGTGGGGGAGGGGCAGGGGCATTTACCCGCCCCCCCGGGGGGCGGAGCCAAGGGCGGGTATTCGTGGCGAGCACGCTTACTTGTTCCGATCCTAGTGCGGGCTGAGACCCAGCGGTCTCCGCCCGGTTCCAGCCGCCACCGCTGCTGCCGTCGCCGCCGCCCTCCCCGCGGCCGCCGCTACTTCCTGCTTCTCTCCGCTTCGGCCTCCCCTCTCCCTCAGCTCCCTCCGCGCTCCTGGTCCGGGCTGCCCGCTTTCATACTCGCCATTGGCCAATGGCCCCGTCGTTCAGCCCTGAGCCCCACCCAGCCCCGCACGGGGTTGGCCCTCCGTACCCCGCTCGGAACTGGCCCCTCATCGTCTTCTCTCCGTGATTGGATGAAGGGCCTGGACCCTGTGGAGAAGCGTCTTCTCATTGGCTGCTCCGGAGTCCACCTGCCTCATCTGCGTAGCTCGATAGCCATTGGCCCGCGCCGCTGTCGCTTAGCAGGAAGCCTGCCCCGGTCTCCGCTCTGGGACGCGAGGGGAGCCGAGCCCCGAAGCGTGGCCGTCCCCTCGCTATTGGTGGCTCGAAGCCGGACGCTGTGCCTCATGTATGCAAACTTAGGAACTCGAGCCGTGCGGCGTGCGCCGGAGGGAATCTCGTCGGCTCCGTGGAATCTGCGTGTTTTAAGTGTTCATGTCGTTTCCTCTGGCTAAGACGCAGTCGCAAGGATGCGGGGCAGGGGTCACAAAACGGGGCGCCACCCCCAAACATTACGTCATCGGGGTGACCGTTCCCTCGCGATCCTCGCAGGGTCTAAACTGCTCTACCATCCGGAGAGATGCGGTCCTCGCGTGGGTCAGCCCCTGGACGTACGCACCACGCACAGCGCACAGCTCCTCCCTCTGCGGGAGAGACGGACAGACCGCGGGGATTCTGTGTAGAAGAAACCGGAACCCGGGACCTGGGACCTGAGACGCGCTGCGGACCGGAAGTGGGGGAGGTGATGTCGGGAGTGCTGGCGTGGCCTGGGCCACGTCCAGAGAGCTCAAGGTAGTTTGCTGATAGGCCCCTTCCGCGAGCGGAGGAGGCAGGCCAGCCCTGTTTCCCAGTTCTTAGCGCTCTTTCTCTCCGCCCCCGGCACGAGCTGGCGTTTCGGTTCAGGTTGAGCTTTCCCGCGCTCTGACGCCCCGCCCCCTGGAGGCGGGGCCAAGGGAGGGATTGCTGGGGAGATGAATTGCCTTGACACTCACCCATCTGCACGCTTTCGCAGGACCCATCTGCAAGCCCAGTGTGCCACCTGGCGCACACGCTGCAGCCTGGCTGCGCGCCGCCGCCGCCCACCGCGAACGCAGCCGTTCCGAACAAGGGGTTACTTTGTTTTTGTTTTTAAGATTGTGCGTTATTTTCACACTTTGCGGTGTTGGGAGTGGCACCCGGGGCTTCACCCATTCCAGGCAAGCAACCCACCAACCGAGAAATGAACCTAGAGAGTCGCACATGCTAGGCAAGTGCGCCAACACTAAATCCATACCCTGTCTTTCACTTTCTAAGACAGGGTTTTCACCAAGGTTGTCCTGCCTGCCTAGTAACTGGAGTTACACTGCTGCACCACCAGGCCCAGAGTCTGGTAAAGCTTTTAAAAGGAGACTATTACCTGCCCTTGGGTCCCAGAAATCTCAGGCGCCGCCTAGGAGCCACTTGTCACTCACTATTAAGGCTGCAACAACAAAGTGTGAATTCGAGCTCTAGATGGGAATCTTGGAACCACCACATTCCACATGATGACGTCAGGCAAGTCGTTCAACCTCCCTGAACCTACTGTCTCATGAATAAAATGGTAATCATAATATCCACCTGCCAAGATTAGTTTTGCAAGAATGAAAAGCTTAGCGTGCAGAAGTGCTATTTATAAAATGATAGCAAGCGGATGAATGCAGCCTCCACCTCACCTGCCGTCCTTCTCTGCAGATGCCACAGCTCCCAGCGCGCCTCGCTCTGAAGAACTAATTGAGAGTTTACCGGAGAGCTGAGGATGTGGCTCAGTTGGTATTTTATAAGTACAAAGTGCTTGTATTTTATAAACCTGCGATGGTGGCTCATGCTTAGAATCCAGCACTTGGGAGGTGGAGGTAGGAGTATGGATAATGTAGATAGTGCACAGGGGACTTTATGGCACTGAAACTTCTAGGTGAAACACTATAATAATAGACCCATGACATCCTGCATTTGTGAAAAATCATAAATCAATTAGTTAATTCTAGTTAATAATGCACTGATATATGGGACTGGAGAAATGACCCAGTAGTTAAGAGCACTGGCTGCTCTTCCAGAGGACCCAGGTTCAATTCACAGCACCCGCGAGACAGCTCACAACTGTCTATAAATCCAGTGCCAGGGGATCTGACACCTTGACACACATTCATGCAGACGAAATGCCAATGTGCATAATATAATAGATAATTCATTATATTAATAATGCATCAATATGGTTGATCCGTTTATCAACTGAAATATTTATATGAAATATATATAAGATAATAAGGGAAATTGGTGAGAGGGAATATATGGGCACTATTTTTTGCCCAATTTTTCTATAAACATAAACATCTCTAAAGTATATTTAATAGCAAAATTTCAGCCAGGCAGTGGTGGCGCACACCTTTAATCCCAGAAGCACAGACAGTAAATCTCTTGAGTTCGAAGCCAGCCTGGTCTACAGAGCAAGTTCCTGGATGGCCAGTGCTAAACAGAGAAATCCTTTCTCAATAAACCATTTTTTTTAAAAAATTCAAAACCAGGATATTTTTAAATTCACAAACAAGATTTCAAAGTATGGAAGGAAGCCAGGAAGTGTGTGAAGATTGTGGTTTTAGATAGGGTGGATGAGCGAAGTCTTTTCTGGTAAGATTGCAGCTAAATGGTCCCAGAAGAGCCGTCCAGGAGGGAGGTATAAAAGGTTCTTAGGGGGGGAATGTGAAACGGGTTGGTAGGAGGGGTGATCTGAAGACTGCTTAGAGGATCTTTCCTGCTTGCCAGAGGGGGAGGGGAATCTCTATGAGTTTGAGACCAATCTGATCTACAAGAAGAGTTTCAGGATGGCCAGGGCTACACAGAGAAACCCTGTCTGGAAAAACTTAGTGGGGAAAAAAGGAAGGAAGGAAAGAAGAAAGAGACAAATATATGGTACTATCTATTTTTTGCCAAATTTTCTATATAAATATGTCTAAAGTATATTTTAAAAAATTACATCTGTAATCCCACTGGAAAGGCTGAGGCAGAAAGATCGCAAGTTTATTCTAGCCTGGCTATCCAGTAAGACCCTGTCTCTAAGTTTAAAAACAAAGCTGGAGAGATGGCTCAGTGGTTAAGAGCACTTGCTGCTTTTGTAGAAGACCCAGGTTTGGTTCCCAGCACCCACATGATGGCTCACAACTGTCTATAACTCCAGCTCCGAGGGATCCAGCTCCCTCTTCTTTCCTCATGCATGAGACACACACACAGTGCATACATTCAGACATCACTCAAAAATAATAAATTTTAAAAAAGAGACATACAGAGGCAGATTGACCTGGGGATGTAACCAGGAGTGGAGTTTTCCTGAGAAGTGTGTTAAAATGTCTCTCTAGGCTGACACCAGAAGGAGAGAAAGCAACCTGCACTAGCCAAACCCCGCTGGGCTGACTCCGGAGTTTTCACACAGCCCCTAGGCCTTCCTTTGTCTTACAAATACCTTTTGTTGTCCCATGTGAATCTTGACTGAGAGTTTCCCATGGATACAAAGTCAATGCAAAACTTGGTTTAGAAGAAACCCGGAAAAATGTAGCACCTCATGAATAAGGTATTTGCACCTGGCGTTGTATTGTCAGAAACTTCCATCAGTTTGCTTTGAGATATAGAAATCTACCATCTAAAGTATAGAAAAAAATAGAAAAAAATAAAGATGCTGGAAGGAGCTTCAGTTCACTGCGACTGAGCCCCCTGCAGCCGCAGAGGCTAAGTTCATTCTCATGTGTCTCTGAGTCTTCATTTCACCATCCCGCATAAACCCACACATCCGAAATATTTGCAACACATGTGTAAGGCCCTAGCTTCAATTCTGCACCACAAGAAGAAATGGGAGCTGAATATAGTAACCTAGTTTCCCAGCACATGGAAGGAGGCTGCGGGAGGATCAGAAGTGATCCAGGACAGCCTGGTCTTCGTGAGACCTTGTCTCAGAAGATGAAGATCTGAGTGTATGTGAAGATTGGAAGCAGGTAAAGTCCATGGATGATCAGAGGAGCTCCAAGCTTTCCAGGAAACTGGGGAAAAAGAGCAAAAAGAGCAAGAGGGAACCACGGGGGAGGTGCTCGATCCTATCTAAACTTGATGTGCCATGCTTTGTACAAGTCCATAAAAGACCTGCCCCTTTCTGAGTGGAGTGGATGCAGAGAGCAGTAGATGGGAGTTGAGGGAAAGGAATGAGAGAGGTGGGAGGGGAAACTGGTTGGTATGTAAAATAAAGGGAAAATGTTAATAGAAAAAGAAGAAAAAAGAATGGAGAAGGGACCGGGCAATGGTGACACTTGCCTTTGATCCCAGCGCTTGGGAGACAGGCAGGTGGATCTTTGAATTCAAGGCCAGCCTGGTCTACAGACTGAGAGTGAGTTCCATGACAGCCAGAGCTACACACAAAGAAACCCTGTTGTGGGTTTAGGGCAGGGTGTGTGTGTGTGTGTGTGTGTGTGTGTGTGTGTGTAGGGAGAATGCCGGGCCATGGTAGCGTAACCATTTAATCCCAGTATTTGTGAGGCTGAGCCAGTCTGATGTACATGAGACCCTCAAAACAAAACAAAAAATGGAGAAAGGGCTGTCAAGATGACTCGGATGGACCCTGTGATCCCACAAGGTGGCAGAAGAGAACCAAGAATCCTCTTGTGACCACATGTGCTCTGTGGCACATGCGTGCTTACACATACACACACTTTTAAAGGGAGAAGGAGGGAGGAAGCCGATGAGAACATTGACGAAGCAACCATTTCAAAGGGGAGAACAGGGAAGAAGCAGCTTTCGGAGAGGGTGGGGCTGTTGGCAGTGCTGGAAACTGAGCTCAGCTCCACAGATTAGGCATGCACTTTACCACTGAGCTATATCCACAGCCTAAAATATAACTTTAAAAAAGTTAGGTGTGTGTGTGTACTGTGTGTAAGAGTACCCTCTGGGGACAGAAGAGAATGTTGGATTCCCCAGGGCTGGAGTTACAGACAGTTGTGAGATGGATGCTGGGAACCAAACAGGTCCTGGGGAAGAGCAGTAACCACTGCCAATTGGGCCGTCTCCCAAGCACCAGAAATGACTTGTTTCATTTTATTTTGCTTAATTGTTTTAATATTTTGTTTATGTAGGAGCCAGCCACGATAAGCTAAATATTTCACCTGCACGTGCTATGTGTCTGTGCTACACATGCATGCAGTGCCGTGGGAAACCAGGAGAGGGCACCAGATCCCCTGGGACTGGAGTTACAGATGGTTGTGAGCCACCAGGTGCTAGAACTAGGACCCAGAGCCTCTGGAAGAACAGCCAGTAACTGCTGAGCCAACCCCTGGTTTGGTGTGTTGGGGGATAAGGGGTGGGGTCGAGATTGTTCTCCGCCCCTTGAATCTCAAGTTGGCCTTGAATTTGTGACCCTCCCTGCTTCTGCCTTACAGACACAGAAATTACAGGCAGACTTGCACCAGCATACCTGGGAGAGAGGGACTTTTAAGACAAAGAAACTGAGCCTGGGATTATAGCTCACTTAGTAGGCAGAATGCTTGCCGAGCATTCATGAAGCCATGGGTTTGAGCCCTAGAGCACTATAAACTATAACACTATAGCCAGGCATGGTGGCTCAGTATGTAAACCCAGCATTTCAGAGAGAGACAAGGAGAGCAGAAGTTAAAGGTGTCCTCATAGTTACACAGGAAGTTTGAGGCGCTCTGTGCTGCTTTAGACTCTGTCTCAAAAACTAATATAATAATAGTGGTAGAATGGATAAAGTATGTTATTAGCGTACTACAGGCAAAGGTCTTGTACATTAGGAAGATGATTCTTTAAAACACCCTGGAAAAGCTGAGCATAGTGGCATATGCCTTTAATCCCAGAACTCAGGAGGCAGAGGCAGGTGGGTCTCTGTGATTTTTGAAATTACTCTGGTCTACATAGTGAGACTCTGTCAAAAAAAAAAAAAATCCTGGTGCCTTGTTCTTTAAAAAGGAAAAAAGGATCAGGCTGGATGGACAGATAGCTTAGCAGCTAACAGTACCTGCTGTTCTTCCAAAGAACCTGGGTTCAATTCCCAACATTCACATAGGAGCTCACAACTGTAACTCCACTGAAGGCGTAAGTCACGAACAAGGCCACACCAGTTTGGAGTTATGATTAATAGGGTGTTATTTATTTAAAGGGGAAAACTTACAGCTCACCGTCCCAGACAACAGCCATCTGCACAACCAGGAAGGGAGTCTAGTCTCCGGCAGAGCAGGAAGTGAAGAGAGCGAGCAGAGGAAATAGC